TGGGTGTGGGTGTGGGTGTGGGTGTGGGTGTGGGTTTGGGTGTGGGTGTGGGTGTGGGGTGTGGGTGTGGATGTGGGTGGGTGTGGGTGCGTGGGTGTGGCTGTGGCTGTGGGTGGGTGTGGGTGTCGGGTATGGGTGGGTGTGGGTGGGAGTGGGTGTGGGTGTGGGTGGGTGCGTGGGTGTGGGTGGGAGTGGGTGTGGGTGGGTGCGTGGGTGTGGGTGGGAGCGGGTGTGGGTGTCAGGTATGGGTGTGAATAAAGATAGGAAACTACCGAGACCCACAACCCTTAATAGATCTGATGCATCTGAGTTTAGTCAATTGATTTTGATAGATACATCTGAAACGCTTCGCTTCATTGGTCTTTATTTTCAGTATAATCATTCTCAAATTATAATAATATCAATAGTTACAACAAATTTCTAACATTTGCAAATTATTTTTATGGCGCATTAAATGAGATATCGATTTATTCTTTTATTCATTTACTTTGTATTCATCGTGCATTGCGAACTCTTTCTGTGACAATCAGAATTACACATATGTGGCACAGGTTGCTAGTACAAAGTAAATCTATATATTAATTTGTAAATAATTTAAATTCCTTGATTTATTTAAGCATAAAAAATATGTATCTTTTTCTTCTGGATGTGCCTAATCTTCCATTTATTAATGAAAATGAACTTCTGTTATCATCATCATTAAAATCATTCGATTTACAAATAGTTATGGCTCAAGGTAATATTCATTCAATTGGTCTTATTCTTCGTTGTATGCCAAAACTGGATCAATTTGTTTTTACATTTATTGTTGATCCGAATATTTCACCATTCATTATGGATTTGACTGATGAACCGAATTGGCGCGAGATGTGAACAAGTGATGTGCCTTATTTAGAGAAATTTGATTTTCATAGATCTTTATTAAATTATGGTCAACCATTGATTTTCAACTCATTCACATGTCTCATCAACTTATATAAGCAATGAAATATGTGTATCACTCGATAGGACTATTGGCTAAATGTTTTGTTTATTTTCGATGAGTTAAATAAATAAAATTAGAGAAATAGTAAATAAGTATTTTTCTATTTCATTTTTTATATAGATAAGTAATCTTTCCATGAAAAATAATTTGAAAAAAAAATCTAAATCTCATTTTGATAAATTACTCAAATGTAGATAGAATTTCATTTCTAGATTTATTTCGTACTTAATTGTTGGAGTTGTTTTTCCGCTAGAAGATATCAAATTCATAAAATTGAGAAAATAATTATTCGAATATACATCTATTCATCAATAGATTAACGAGGATATTCTTCCTTGAAAAAAAAGAATCACAGTTGAGAAATAAACAAAATATTAGAAATTTCAAAACGTAGTTCATTGTTTTAAATGAACTTTTGAATATTGATATATTCCTTGAAGGATTAACATTCTTTATCAGATCAAAAAAGTCTTATTCTATGACTTTGGTTCTATGTACTATAAAATGAACAAAAATATTCCTGTCTTACGGAATCAGCTTTTTTCAGTCACATTTCACCCAATTGAGTGAATTTTGTTATGATATGATGATACCTCGTGAGTTAATATTTTTTTGTTGTTTACAGACTTGCGTTTTTTCCTGTGTCATATAGTTGCCTATTATCTATTGATTGATAATAAAAACATATTTATAGATTAGACAAAGGTTTAGATTCTGTCATTTCGAATAGAACTTTGTTGGAAATATTGGTCATTTTTCTCAAGTTTATTTATATTGTATGATGTATCTCTAAAAGGAATAATCGATCGTTAAAATAGAAGAAAAAGTTATTTTTGTATCATCTATTATTTTGATTAGAATGATTTCAGTTGAGCAGATTGATATGTGGATACGTCATTATCATGATTCGATAACACGACGTGAAAATGATGTACCATCAATTACAATGAGCGATACATTCTATATGCAATCAACAAATATATTCAATCTGAATGATCATCAGCTTAATTTTCATCACCATCAAATCGATTTCTTTATGTCAACAGAGGCGGAACCAATGTTCATATCATTCTTATTGAACACCACGTTTACGACTAAAATGACGTAAGTTTATTAATACTTAATCGGTAAACCTGAAATTGGTCGAAAGTAAAAATGTCGAAAGTAAAAATGTCGAAATAAAAACGTCGAAAATAAAAATGTCGAAGAACAAAAATGTTGAAAACAAAAATGTCGAAAATAAAAATGTCGAAAAGGATGTTAGTATGAGGTGAGATATTGATGTGGATGGGGTTGTGGGTGTGGATGTTTATATGGGTGAGGGTGAAGGTGAAGGTGAGAGTGTAGGTGAGGGTGTGGGTGTGAGTGTATGGTGTCTGTGAGGCGCTGGAGATAGGTGTGAATGCATGTGTGTATATTCGTGTTAATGTGGGTGTATGTGGGGGTTTCTGATATTGATGTGGGTGCATGAGAATATGATTCTGGATGACCTTCCATCACACAATTGGACGCACAGGACTCACACCTCATGCACACCTCTCCTGCTTTCTTGCCTATTCCTCATTTTCGGCCCCTCTCTTCGCGACATGGTATTTTCGATATTTTTTTGAACATTTAAATACTGTGATCTTTAAATTTTCAAAATTTTTATTTTCGATATTTGTGTATTTCGATATTTATATTTTCGATATCTTTATATTTCGACATTTTTCAGGAGAACCACTTAATCGATCAATAAACCATAAAATTTCTTTTTTTTCTCTCCTAACTAGTTTTATCACTATTTACGAAAGATGACGATGATTGACAAAAATATGTTGATAACCTTTCACGTCTTGTTAACTTGTCTTATATTGATACTGTACAATTTTCACGAAACAATGATATTAACAAGATTACTTGTTATTAAATACGTTTTATCGTAAGTTATGTGCATACTGATCATTTGTTTTGTTTTGCTATACCAACGTATTTATATAAAAAAGTATTCTTTATTGTTAAGAGATTAAAATATCCATATTATTCTATAAGCTTTGTTACTCGAATAAAATTAGATTTTCTTCCTTATATGTTGTCAGTTCTATGGTTTTCATTTTCAAGTGAAAATAAAACGACATAACCCCTGTTGTAATGTATTTTTGTGCTTCGATCAATACCTACTCCACGCAAAATATAAAAGATATTTGCATCAGCCAATTTTATAGAGCAAAAGTTTGCTCTACAAATTATGCTATTTACTTCGGTTTTATATCTTGAAGCAAAGACATGAAATCTGTTGTCTTATAAATAGAAGATTTCGGAAAACTAACGTTTTGACAGAAGTTTATTTTACATATCAATCAGTTGTCAGAAAAACTTCTATAATCTTTTATTCATTTAAGTTGAAGCCTATTGTAATATATATGGTTTTATAGAGAATTGAATACTCTATAAATTGTCAATTTAGAAATGCTTCAAAATCCAACCTACACAAGTAATGAATATCTGGAAAACATGTGTTTTCTTCGTCGAGATATCATTTTTCATCTCTTTCCAATATTAACTTACAGCTAACGAACGTACCAAATACTTTTAGCGGCTGAAAGATGAACAAACAGTTGATCTATTTCTAATCAATGCTGAATCAGAGAAATATTCTGACCAGATATCCGAAAAGAGCACAAAAATCTGATTTTAGCTAACTACTTTTGATTCTCACTAATCACGTTGAGACGACTGAAAAATGAATAAATATCTTGTCTGAAGACTTGCAACAAGGATTATATATTTTTCACGATAATAACAATCACAAATCGAGTAAAATCTGTTCATAAAACGATTTTAATCCTACTAATTTTATTAATTTTTTACCGTACGATTACCCGAAGAAAACACTATTCTGAGAAAATATCGTTCCTTTTAAATAAAACTTGATTGAAAGTTTTCAAGGTGAAAAAATCTGCCTTATGAGGTCATGAGCTTTCGAAAATTTTGAAGTCTTTGGTCCCAATCGATTCCTCGATTCCGAGAATCTTTAGTCATATTTTATGAAAAAAAATCGTTAGCTTCTCAAAATAAGTCATCCCTTGCTGAATCAATACTCCAATACTGTAAATGGTATTGCAATACGCTTAGTAAAGAAAATGATGGACAGCAATCACTATTTCATTATTTAGAAAATTTTTATGCTGTTCATCGATCAAGAACAATTAGAAAATATCTGAAAATTTGAATGTGTACGATGAGATAAAATTTTTCGCTTACTTTATTTTGAATTTTTAATCTGATTAATTTTGGTTTCCATCAATAACTCTCTGATAGGAACAGAAATCAAAGTAATTTTAAAGGAAACGATATACTATCATAATAAATTCATATATATATAAATAAAATTCAATCTTTAAAAGGTAAGCAATTGATCTGTATTTACTTAACTCTGAACCATTTACACTCAATATTGATCTTGTACAAACAGCATTCAATTATCAAGATTCTCTCTATGTACAACGTCTTATTGGCTATACAATGATTAAAATGTTGTTCTTTTTTTATTTAAACTTACACACTCATGAAGGGTGTGGGTGAATGTAGATCTTCTATTACTATGGACTTATCTCGACATCCACACCCTTGTATGAAAATATATTTAATATATCCAAGTAACTCGAGAAAATCCAACTTTAATGAAGTGAACTTCGTTTTTGAGTGAATAGTCGTGTGAACTGCAAAGTAATACAGTGCACGAGTTAATAGATACATGATTTTAAGTAAATTAACAGCTGCATTCGCTCGATCTTCGTCCATATGTGTAAAAGACTTCTGCTCTCTTCTTTAATTAAGAAAAAAGACTACGTTTGCAGTTCTTTTATTCTGAATAAAACTGCATAACTAATAACAGGTAACAAAATGACTCAGTGTTTATATTTACTGCAAAGAAACTTCGCAGCACAAGGACAAAAGTATTTTTCAAAGTATAGTGAAGGATAAAAGTTTAAGAGAAATTGGTTTTTCAGATTTTTTTAACATTTCTTTTTGTCAATTTCTTTTTCATATTAAGAAGTATGGATCTGATTCAAATGGTGATATAGATACTACGAGAGGCCGGCCACATGATATATTATAGAAAGAGACTCTGTCTGTCTAAATAGATTTTTCATAATTGAAAATTTTTTTCATCCAAAAATAGGTTTAAACGCCGTTTAGTATTTTGCATTTCCTAACCAAGAGATTTTTTCTAAAATGAAAAAACAATATACCAAACGATAGAGAATTTCACGCTCTATCAGTTTATAAAAAAAAGATTTTTTCCAGATTCGATCTTCACGTCCAAAACTTGGTTTTGGATAGAATAGTCAGCATTTTTCTCCTGTCAAAATCATTAAAAAAGTACAGCTAATTGTGTTTCTCAAAACTTTATGTCAATAAGATAGGGGTGAAAAATCAGTGATATTCGAACTTAAAATACAATATTTCGTTCAGTTTTGAATGCTCTTTCCAATGATGCGTAAAACGTTGTGATAAGAGGGAGTTTGTTGAAGGCAATTCACGTGTTCCGTTTTTGCTGTCTATTCTCCCTAAAACCAAGTTTTGGAGGTGAAGTTCGACTCTGGAAAAAAATTAGTAGAATTAATGGACAATAATTTGAGACAAGCTTTGACATTAAATGATGCAGATGAAGGTACATATATTACTTTAGTTTTGGAAATTTCTCTTCCTCAATCGTTTGTGACTGATCAAATCTTCACTTTAGTCGAGTTTAATAGTCAATTCAATCTGTATGTCTCAGATATAGGTAAACTCTATTGTCAATGTAACGACGAAAAACGCGAGAGTAAATCGACTATTCTACTAAATGAATACGTTCGTTTATGTATCACTATTCGACATCATCCTGATCTACAAGAAGTGTGCAGTGAACGATGTGATACTGGAAGACCAATTGTTGATTTAAAACGAACATTTCCATTATTAATCAAGGAATTTAATACATTTGAACAAACATTTGGTGATATTCAATGGCGTGATAAACTCAATTCTGAGAGTTTCTATTTACCGAATAGAATTGAAGAACGAGCGAAAGCGATTCTTCAATGGCTAATCAATCGATCTGAACGAAATATTGTTGTTATCTCGTATAATTTAATGTTGAAAGCAATATTTCAATTACATAATCAACTTATTAATATGAAGAATGGTGAAATTAAAATGATGGTATAACAATGTTAGAGTTTTTCATTCAATTATAAATAGATGAGCAAATAAAAAATTAAGATTAGAATGGGTTTTCCTTCTAGATCATCGTTTCTCGTTGGTTTTGTTATTTATTTCGAAAAAGAAATAGTTGATTGTCGAAAAAGTGTTTCTTCGAGATGATCTTGCTGTGAACGATATCTAATCACCTTGCCAACCGGTCTGTTTGAGCCAATCTTCGAAAGTTTTTAATTTCCATAGCTTTTGTCCCGTTGTCCAATCCTTGTCTTTACAATAACAACCATATTCTTCAAACCATTTGTAACTATCAACCAGATCATCTTGAGCGACTATCGGCATTTGAAATAGTATCGATCGAAATTCTTCTTCATTAATTGTTTTTGATATCGCTGCTTTTCCAGTGACCTTGGTAAAGACTTTTGAGATATCTGCAAAACGAATAGCGTCACCGCAAATGCAAATATCTTGACCGATGAATGTTTCCGGATTAGTGAGAATTTCACGAACTACAGGACCTGTGTCTTCGATGTCAAATAAATGTAATTTCGTTTGAGAATCAATGGGAGCAGTAAACACCAGTGTACCATCATCCGATTTAGTTGGTTTGAAAAGTGTTTGCCAATTTTGCATATACAAACCAGGTTCAAGAAAAATCGCTTTTAAATCCGGATGTTGTCGTTTGATATAATCGCGTAATCTCGATTTCTTTGAGAAATGTGGTACATTACTGAGAAATTAGACATTTCAGCAAATCAATAAGGATATAAAACAAGCTACTTACTATCTTTCTCCGCTCAATTTATTCACATCTTCAAGTGCACTGAAGATAAAATAAGGTATCGGATTGAGTGAAGCGGCAGTATCAGCCATTCGTCTACCTTGTTTCATTTCAAGTTCAGGTTGATCAGGATGCGCCCAGAAATCTGTCACTGCATAGATAGCCCAAGAATCTTTGAATGCACGTTGAACATCATCACTCCTACTGATATCACACATCACCATCTCAATATCATCACTTAAATGTTTCATTGCTTGAGATTTCTCACTGTTTGGATCACGTGTTAAACCACGAATCTTTTCACAAGCACAAAAAATGATTGGCATTGAAACATCAACAATCGTTGATTACCTTATATTTTCCTGTTTCAATCAGCGATCGAACAACTGCACCTCCTTGAGCGCCAGTTGCTCCAACAACAGTAACAATACGACGATCAGCCATGATAAGTTTCAACTGAATGTCTTAGATCGATTGATGCAAAACTTTTTTTCTTTTTCTCTTCTACATATATCCCTATCTAGGGCGATGACAAGGATATAACCAGAAGTATCACAAAAAAAAACACTAGATGACAGAGAAACTGACGTCAAATAATATAGAAAAAAGAAAAACAACGGGGTTGTGTAGTCAATGTGTAAAACAAGCGAGACAGAAGCATGCGAGAGAAGACATCGAATCTATCTGGCATGAATATAGTGATCTGCTTTACTCGATAATTGACGTATTCAAATTTCGATAGAAATGAGACTGTAGAGCAAGTACAAAATCATTCGTCGTTTTATTCGAAATTTAAAACCATTTTTGCCGTTTAAAACAACAGAACATAATCAATGTTAGTAGAGCCATGTCGATGAGAACACTAAAATATCCGTATTTCCAATGAATTTCCGGCATAGTCTCAAAATTCATTCCATAGACTCCAGCAATAAATGTCGAGGGAATAAATATAGTCGAGATAATTGTCAATGTTTTCACAACTTCATTCATCGCATTGGAATTTAACATCATGTAGAAATCAATGAATGATGCTAACATCTCCCGATAAGTATCAATGGTATCGTTCACTGGAACGATATGATCGAAAAGATCTTTCAAATAAATATTCGTACTTTCTCGCATAATCTTTGTTTCTTTTTTTTGTAGCTTATTGATAATTTATTTCAATGGTGAGATCGAACGATGAATTGAATTGGATTGTTGTACTCTTTCTGTTTATACGAACAACTTTTTATTTATTCAGACGTTTCAGTAGTCATCCGACCACCTTCGTCAGTGCAGATCTTACAACAACAAAT